TGTTTCTGGTCTTGCAACGTCCCAAACGCAGAGGCAAACTTTGGATCACGAGACCAGTTCGCTTCGGTGGCCACGCCGTCCGGGATGAGGCCCCCGGGCTGGCCGTCCTTCGAGGCTGCTTCCGGCCAGAGGGCCGCCTGCCCCCTCCGGCCCGCCCCTTCGAGGCAGGGCTGAGCCAGGCGAGCGCCCCCCATCCCTGGCCTGGGGGCGGAGCCGCCCCTCCCCGCCCGGCGGCTTCCGCTCCGTCGGCGAAGCCCCTCCCCGCGCCGAGAGGCGGCGGCCGCGCTGACAGATCCGGAGCGGCTGGGCTGCCCGCGGCGACTCTTCCGGATGGACCCGCCGGTCAAGGCCGGGCCGCTCCTGCTCCAGCAGCCGTCGGGGCTGCGCATCGGCGCCAAGGTAAGGGCGTCCGGCCGGGGCTCCTCGGCGGGGGTTGCTCCGAGCGCCACCCGCCCGCCGGCGCTTCCGGGATGGGGCGCTGCCGGCAGCGCCGTCTCTGCGCGGGCGAAAGCGCGGGCGGCCGAGGGGCGACTCTCCTGGACCCGGCGCGGCCCGGAAGCGCGGCCCCGCCCCGTCCGCGCCGCCCCTTCGGGATGGGGCCCCGTGGGCTGCTCTGCCTCGACGAAACGCCCCGGCCCCCTCCCTGCCCGAGGCCCATCCGGGACCCGCTCCTGGGCTGCTTGGGGCACCTCCCGTGCTCTCCCTTCTTCTGACGCCCCGTCGAAGCAGAGGAGCCGCGCGCGGAGGATTCCTGCCGCTCGGGCGCCTTGTCTCGCCCTCGGGGCCGCCCGTCCAGCTTCCAACTCTGGGTCCGGTCCCGGCGACGGGCTGTGCTCTCTTCTCAGGGCTTCCCGGCCCTTTCCACCCCCAGCGCCCCGGGGTGCTAATAGGGGGGTACCTGGTTTGGCCCAGACGGGGCGGGGCGTCGTGGACGCTGCAGGGAGCAGAACTGGACCAGGCCGGATTGACCGCTCTTCGCCCAGACCTGCCTCCTTCAGGGAGGGAAGACAGGAGGGTCTTTCCACCACTTCTCCCCCCAAGTGGAGCACAGGAACCGCAACACCTCACTGAGGGAGGGGAAGCCCCCTGTAGGGACTTTCTTAATCTTTGATGCTTTACTCTATGGCTTTTTTACATTTTGATGGAAGCCGCCCAAAGCGGGTAGGGCAGCCCAGCTAGCTGGGCAGCATATAAAGAATATAAAAGCATTAATATTATGAATAAGTGGCCCGCTTCCTCCTACATCACTGGAGCCCCTCCCCAGAGAAAGAAGCTAAAGCCTGTGAAGCCCCCATTGGGGCGCAAGGGGGACGTCTGCCCTGATGATCGGCTCCTGCAGGGGGAGCCAGGGGGCCTCCAGGGACTGGTTGGACTGCAGTTCCCATCAGCCCCTGCTCAGCAGGGATGGGGGCTCCATGTTGGCCACCAGGGGGCTGTGTGCGTGTGCCCTGGGTTCTCCTCGAACCCTGACTTGGAGGCACCTGTTGGGCCTCTCATATGCCAGCTGAAGGCAGCGAGGGGAGGGCAGACCCTTCCCTGGCTATGTGCAAATTCCCTGCTTGCAGAAAGGCAAGTGCACTGACTGTGTGTCCCTGCGGCTCCTCTGGCCCCATTTCCCCTCTGCCTCTCGTTGCAGCGATGGAAGAAGAGCTGGTTTGTGCTCTACCCGGCCAGCCCGCATGGTGTGGCGCGCCTGGAGTTCTTCGACGGCAAGGAGGGTCCTGTGCCGGCGGAGCGAGTGGGCACCAGGCGCCTGGACAAGAAGATTGTGCGCCTGGCGGACTGCGTGAGCGTGGCCCCCGCCCCAGACGGCAGCCCCAAGGAGGGCCTTTCCGCCTTCCGCCTGGAGACCAGCGAGCGCAGCTACCTCTTTGCCGCTGAGCCCCACGAGGCGGCCGACTGGATGGCCAGGCTCTGCGAGGCAGCCTTTCTGGTGAGCCCACCCTGGGGTGGCGGTTGGGGGGGGTCTCAGCGCCTTGCAGGGAGAGGCCCTTGCCTGAAACCCTGCTCAGCTGCTGCTGCCAGCCAGTGTAGACAATACTGTGCTGGCTCTGCATAAGGCAGCTCCCGATGTTCCAGGGACGGTGGAGGGCTGGTCAGCCCTGGCTGGTGGGAAGAGCCCCCCACTTCACTCCTTGGCCCCCCCGGCCGTGCTCAGGGGCGGCAGGGGTGCTGTGCAGCAGAGGAGCTGCCATTCCTGGGAAGGGCTGGGGGAGTCTGCTGACGGTCTTCTCTCCCGGCAGGGCAATCCTGGGAAAGCAGCACAGCCTGCAGCCGACTGCGCTGGGGGGCGACCCCTGGAGATGGCCATGAACGCCATTTATTACTCCCGAGAGGAAGGTAGGAGGCGCTCAGGAGCAGAGCTGGCTCCACCCTGTCCCCGTCAGACTTTCAGCCAGCCCCCCCCCCTGTAGTTTGGGTGGTGGGGCAGAGGGAGTGCCATAGGAAGACACGGCTGCTGCAGGACAGAATTGCAGGCTGGGAGTCCCCCGCTTTGGGAAACGCAGCTTGGGCCGGGAGGCTTCTGGCTGCCAGGGCTGCTGATTCTGGGGTGACGGCTGCTGGGCGGGTGCCTGCCCCCCCCCCCGAGGGTCCCTGGGGGTCTCCAGCTCTTGACTCTCCCCCTTGGCCACAGTCAGCGAGTTCTGGGTGACGGTGCAGAAGACGGAGGCTGCTGAGCGCTGCAAGCTGCAGGGGGTCTACGTGCTCAAGGCCTCCGGCGAGGGCCTCATCCTTGGGGACCCCCACTCCAACCAGCCCCTCTTCACCTGGCCCTACCGGCTGCTCCGCAGATATGGCCGGGACAAGGTGGGTCTGGGAGGAGGGGTGCATGTGGGAGGGAGAGGCAGGTAGGCGGGGGGGGGGGGCGAGGCTGCATTGCTGGGGGCAGGACCATGGAAGCCCAAGGAGTGATTTAGTTGAGATTCCTGCATTGCACGGGGGTGGGACTAGATGCCCCTCAGGGGCCCTTTCAATTCTGCAACTCTGTGAACAGGAGGAGCTGCCCTGGGAGAACTGGTGAGGGGGGCTGGGCTCCCTCAGTGGTTGAGGAGGTGCCCAGCTGGCACTGGGTGGGGCAGTGGGGAGAAGCCCCCGGCCTTCTGTGCTGCCCAAGGGCTTTACGGCCAGCTCAGAAGCTCTCTTGCTGGCCCTGTGGGATTCCTGGCTGGCGGGGCTTGTGCTCAGCGTGGGCAGAGCAGGGGCGGGGGAGGTTCCTGTGCCCCTCAAAGGGTGCCTCTTGGCCCCCCGGGGCTCCTTTGCGGCCCCTGACTGTGCCCGCTCTCTGTCCCGCAGGTGATGTTCTCCTTTGAAGCCGGCCGGCGCTGTGAGTCTGGGCCAGGCAACTTCACCTTTGAGACCAAGCAGGGCAACGAGATCTTCCACGTGGTGGAGGCGGCCATTCAGGCCCAGAAGGCACAGGTGGTTGAGCATCGCCACAGCACCTGCTCCCTGGAGGCCGAGGTGGGCCAGCTCCCGGGCGCCCTGGCCGGCTCACTCAGCCTGGAGGGGGAGAGCCTGGGGCCCGCTCTGGCCCCCGAGAGGCCCGGCCTGCGCCCAGCCCTGGCCAAGCTCAGCGCTGCCACTGCTGCGGAGGAAGAGGAGGTGGTGGCCCCCGCCAAGGGGCTGGGCCTGCGGGACCCTCTGGGCAAGTGGCCCAGCACTCCCCCCCGCTCCCCGCTCCCTGAGGTGCCAGGACACGCACTGCCCCCCGAGGACGCGGGCAACGTCTACTCCGAGCCTCTGGATGCGCTCAGGGCCCCTCGCCCCCGGCCGGACGCCCTCTATGCGGAACCCGTGGACAGCCGGCGCGAGGGGGGCAAGGAGCGTTGCCCCCCCAGGACAAACTGCTGTATGAGGAGGTGGGGCCTGGGCAGGACAAGCACAGCAGCAAGGTGCACATCTACGACGAGCCGGAGGGGCGGGCCCAGTGGCCGACGCCCACCCCCACTGCCATCTACGACGAGGCTCGCCTCCCCTGCGAGGCCTGGCGGACGCAGGGCATGGAGAGCCCGGCTGGCTACGAGCTGCCCTGCCTGCTGGGCACGGGGGAATATTCAGTGCCGGCCTTCCCCCCGAAGCAAGGCCTCTCCAAGCCCCCCAAGCCCTGCCCTGCCCCCAAGCCCCCCCGCACCCACAAGAAGCCCCCCCAGCCAGGAGCCCCCAGGCCGGCCCCTGGCAACAGCAACAACAACAACAGTGGCCGCGGGGGGGAGGAGCCCCTCTACAGCAAGGTGGTGAAGCCGCCCCTGGCCAGCCCCGGTCGCTCAGGGGGGGGCAGTCGGGAGGAGCAGTCGGTGGACGAGAGCCGGCCGGCCTCCGTCTACGAAGACCTGGGTGAGATCTGATGGCTCCCAGGGAGGTCGGGGGGGGGCAGGGGACCCCCTTGGGTCCTTGCAGGATCCGTCTTGGGCGATATTTTTATACAGATGTCTATTTTCATATTAAAGCATTTTGTTTCAATGGAGCTGAATGCATGGGGGGGGCTGAGTGCCCCGGGGGGCAACGGGTGGGTGTGGGGCTGAGCAAAGCAGGTTTTTGGAGCTGCTTTGGGAGGCTGCAGTTTGGAGCAGGCCAGGAGAGGGGAAGCGGAGCCCTGCCTTCTGCTCCTGCCAACCGTCAGGGGGTGGGTTCCCCCCATCTCCCCCTCGTCCTAAGGGCCCCTCCAATGTGGGGTGTCCTGCTTCAGAGCACTGGACTGTCTTTTTTCTGGGTGGGGGGAGAGACGCCCCTTTCCCAGCCCCTGAACTGCCTGAGAGTGATCAGCCACCCCCCCGCTTCCTTCCACTAGTCCCAGGCAGAACTCCCTCCCCCCAAAAGATGCAGCCTGGGGGTGCCAAGGCGGAAGAGGCCCAGAGAGCGGCTGCAGCCCCCGCCTCCTGCGCTGCTTCCTCCTCCTCTGTGGCTTCCCAGCAGGTTCCCTCTTCTGTCTTCCCCACAGCTGGGGGGGGGGGGAGTGCCCTGCTCTTGAGGGGGGGGGGACAGAAGGACACAGCTCAAGGTTTGGTGCAACAAAGACAAAAGTTTATTGAAGGGGGTCTCCAGAAACGGGAGGGGGCTTCCAGCCACGCTCGTCCCCCCAAGCAGACACAGATCCAGGCATTGCTGCAGAGGCTCCAGTTTTGCCACACGAAGGGGGGGGACAACTCCAGCCCACCCCCCCAGGTGCTCAACAGGGTGCTTGTCGTGGGGTGCTTGTCTGGGCTGGGCTCCTCTTTCTGTGGGAGCTCTGGCTCAGCGGGGCCTCCATGGGGCGAAGGGAGTGGCCCCTGCGGTGTCACATGGTGTCCAGGAACTCTTCTTCGTCTCCGGAGAACAGGGAGAAGGCGGGTGGGCGGGGGGCAGCGGGTGCCATGCGCAGGGGGGCCACCATGGCCCTGGCCTTGCCCAGGTGGGGGCGGCTGCCCTGCTGTGGGCAGAAGGAGGAGGTGGAAGAGGCAGTGTGACCCCCAGGCGAGGGCTGGTCCCCCTTTCCACTCCCGGGGGCACCGGTTCCCTTTGCATCTCAAGCGGTCTGGCACAAGTGGGGTGGACCTCCGCCCCCCAACAGCCACTGGGTGGCTCTTTGCAGCCCTGTTCATGGGTGAGGGTGCCTGCCATACCTACCTGACGGGGCAGGTGCCGATCTGCCTTGCGCTCGGGCCGGGAGGGGGGTGGGCGCCCCAGGCTGCTCCTCAGGGCTTGGTACAGGGGGGCCCCCCACTCAGGGGACTGTAGGCCGGCTCCAGGTCCAGGCCGTCCAGGACGTTCTGCAGGGAAGGAGCCAGTGGGTGAAGGTGGTTTCATCATGGAATCAGAGGGAGCATTCCTAGCCGCTGGTCCCTCCTGCCACCCACCCCCCAAAGCCCCCTCCCAGCAAGGATGAGGTGCAAGCCCTGTATCTCCGCACCCCCCAGGGCAGGAGGGTTGAAAGCAGGCAGAGCCTGAGGGTGGGACCACGAGGGTGCAGCCCTGGGACCCTCTCCCGGGACCACCCCCTTCCTCGTGTTTTCTCTCTGGTGGTCCAGTGCCGGCGTACTGGGTTGCTGGTGGGGTGTGCTGCCTGGCTCTCCCCCCCCCCCCCCGCTACTTGCCTCCATTTGGCTGAGAGTGGCCTGGGGAGGCTCTGCTGGCAGAAGAGGGAAGCTGCAGGGCAGGAGGAGCTCCCGGCCCACCAGGGAGCAGAGCAGCAGCGAGGCGGCCCCTTCGGAGGGCAGGAGGACCTGGAGGGGGCTCGGACAGTGGGGACCCCAGCCGGGACCGGGGGCCCACTGGTGGGGTCTCATATTTGGCCAGCAGCAGCCAGTTTCGCTTCTGAAAGAGGAAATTAGAGTCTCAGGCACCCCCTCTCGGGGGGGGGGGAATGTGTGGTTCTCCTTCCTCTTTCCCAGAGACCCTGTACCAGGGAGAAGGGGGGTGCCCTCTCCTGAAGGCAGGCACCGTCACATGGCGGGGGTCACTATGGCTTAGCCCTGCAGGCGTGGAACCTCCCCCCCCCATAACTCAGTGCCTTGCGACTCTGCACCCTCCACCCCAACTCACCCACAGACAGTGGCAGAGGGCCCAGAAGAGTTGCTGGTTGGCCTCCAGTTCATCCCAGTTCATCCGCCAGCAGCTTGTGGGCCGGATGACCAGAGGCAGCCCATAGAGCAGCGAGGTGCACAGGCCTTTGGCCTCCAGGGCCCTGCAAGAGACGGGGAGCAGGGCCTTGGTCGGGGGGGCAGAGCCTGCCTCCAGCTCCCAGGCAGCACCCAGGGCCCCCCAGGACTGGGAATGATCTAGGGGCAAGTGACTCCCCAGTGGAAGAAGGTTGCCGCATCTGCAGCTTTTTAGTTTGCAGAAAAGGCCAGTTTTAGACAGCATCAGAGTTTATAAAGCAATGCTTGGCATGGAGAGAGTGGATGGAGGAAAGATTTCCTCTCTGAAAACCATGGAGCTGGTGGACATGGCAGAAAGCTGAACGTTGGAAGACTCTGGACAGATAAAAGGAACTTCTTCATGCAGAGCAGAGTTCACCAGTGGAACTCCCTCCCTCAGGAGGCAGGGATGGCCACCAGCTTGGAAGGCTAACCAAGAGGATGAGCCTAGTCCTGGGCCCAAGGGCTCTGGTCTGCCTCCGGGGCCCCAGGAGGGGAGCTGCCCTTGGAGCCCTTTGGGGCATCAGGATTCTGGGCTGGAGCAGCCACTGGCTGGACCATGCAGGCTCTCTTCGGTTGGGAGGGAGAGGGGTTCTCAGAGGGACCATTTCTGCAAAGCAGTCTGCATTTCCTGGCAGGATGTCCTGCGCCAAAGGGGAACCTGCAGCAGCCTGGCTGTCAGCAACTGCCAGAACAGCCAAGAAGGGGAAGCTGGTGTTGCTGTTTGTGTGCCTGTCAGCTGCTTGCCTGCCTGGCAGCTCCCTTGGGGGGGGGGGCTCTGTGCTGAGCTGCTGGGGGTGGAGTGGGGGGGTGGCTGTCCCCAAGCAGAGCGCCAACCAGCCTCTGCCCTGCCATGGCACTTTTGCAAGCAGTGCACTCCCTCCCACCCCGCAATGCACATCTTGCCACCAACTGGGGTTGCATCAGCAGACAAAAAAACCAGGCCACTTGATAGGCCTGTGACTTGCCCAGTGTGGCTCCAAGGTCTTCTAGGACACCCACTCCTCTGCCCCCTTTGTCCACCTGCCCATGCCCTGGGGGGGGGGGAGTGGAGAGGGAGAGCTCTTAAGGTGCTCCTGCATCATGGCAAGGGGAGCGGGGGGGGGGGGCTTCCTGGCCTGCCAGAGCCTCGCGATCTGTGGCTGCACCTCATGACACAGTTTGTCCACACTGGTGGGGGCACTTGGCCCCCTCCCCCCCATGCAGATGGGAAGTGGGGAGCAGGGAAGAGGCTGCTGAACTCCTCGCTCTGCTGCATTTCAAAAGGCAAAACCGGAAGTGAGGGGGGTGGGGGGTGAGTTGGGGTCTCCGCCATTCCGTCAGGAACAGCCTTGCTGGGCTTCCTCCAAGCAGCCATTTGTTTGTTGCTATTTTTCAGGCTTTGTGTTGCGTCTTCTGCCTCAGGCTCTCCCAAGGGAGGAGGATCCTCCCCCCAGGCTGTCTGCAATTGTGGAAGCCAGTGGGGGCTGCTGCTTGTCCTCCCCACCCTCCTCAAGGGCCCCTGAGCCAGGCAAGCCAGAGCAGGTTCAGGGGAAGGGAGCAGCCGGCCCAGAACAGGAAGCGCAGGGGGGGGGGAGGACAGCGGCAGAGAAGCACACTGGCTCCAGCACAGCAGCTGCCCAGCCCCCCCCCCACCTGAGGGGCCCTTTGGCCAAAAGGTCCTGTAGCCCAGAGAGTGAGTGGCCAAAGCCAGATTTCCTGAGTTTTAACAAGAACCCCTTTTTGGGTTAAGAGTGCCTCTAAGGATGGACAGAGTGCTTCTCACTGCAGTTACACCTCTTGAACATGGGACAGGGCTCCCAAGGCAGCTGACGTGGCCACAACACAATTTTTCCATTGGAGTCTGGGACCTGGGGAAGGGCTGAGGGGCAAGGCAGGCTGGCCCTCTTCTCAAAGGGGCCCTTGGGGGCGCTCCCAGTGTGTCTCCCCCCCCCCCCCGCTCAGATGGCTCCTGGGCAGGTACCTGAGGATGCGGAGCTTGCGTGGCACCAGGCCTGGGCCAGCTGCCATCCAGAAGGGGCCACTGGCATCCTCCCGTTGTGCGGTGGGACCATCTCCGCAGGCGGAAGTAAGCAGAGCGGGGTTGAGGAGCCTCTCCTGGGCATCGCATTTCACGCACACTGCAAGGGCAGAAGGCAGCAGGGCTAAGGGGGCGCAGGGAATGCTTCTGCCAAGCCATGGCAGCCGGGGACCCCTCCAGCTGCCAAGGACCCAGAGCCACTGCCAGCCAGAGCGGGCAGAGGGCGAGGGCTGTGCCAAGGACTGGAGAGGTCAGGTTTGTGTCTTTGGGCCGATGTCCAGGGCAGAAGAGCCCGCTACCCCATGGGAAGCCCTTGGAGAGGCTGCCCTGGCCTGGTGCAGCTTCAGGCGGGGGACGGGGCAGGGGGCAGCTCAGCCTGGGTCCTCGGGCACAGCCACCGCCAGGCCCCGTCCAAATTCAAGGCACCACTCTTGGCATTTAATGCCCCCAAGGACTCTCCCCTCACAGACTACAGCACCAACACTCTGGAACTCAGTGCCGATGGGAACGATGCTAGCACTTTTGCTGCAGCACTTTGGAGACCTAATTATTATTATCATTTGCTTCAGTAAGCTTACCCATGTATGTAAATTTGATATGTATTCAAAGATTTGGTTTTATTTTTTCAAAACCATTGGGTTTATTTAAATTTTGATTCTTTTTTTACGTCAGCTTCCTTGTAACATTTCATTGTATCAGTCATTATAGTACGTGTGTGTATTTATTTGTGTAAATAAGAATTTCACTTATGAGTGGCTTCCCATGAGGGATGCCGAAGCAATTTACTATGCAATAATTTATATGAAACAAATACGGAAATAGCAAGAACTGCACACAGGGAAACAATTTAAAAAACCAAAACATTTGTAAATGTAAAGGGAGTTTAGAATACTGGACAAACACTGAATGGGAGAGAGATGTTTAGCAGCGGAGGCAAGAGAGGAGGGCACCCGTCTCTCTCCCACAACAGCAAGGGGTCCCAAAGGGTAGTGCTGGGTGTGGTGTCAGCAGGCTCTCAGAAGCAGGGAATCTGTAGAGTTAGAGAGACTCCCTGAAGAGGAAGCTTTCGGTCTGGGTGAAGCAGCAACACAGGAATCCCACTGGCTCACACTTACCTGGGCAGCTCTGGGCTGCAGCAGGGGGGCAGAGCGCTCCAGCGGGCAGGAGGAGGTGGAGGTGCTCCTGGTCTGGGCTGTGGTCGTGGAACCAGCCCTTGAAGAAGGTCTCCAGGGCCACCACATCATTCTCCACAGTCTGGAGGTCAAGGACTGCGCCCAGGGTCACAGCGCTCTCTGCAGGGAGAGGAAAGGAGCCCCATCTGCACATGCCTGGGTACCCCCCCCCCGACAATGGCTCAGCCTGGGCATCCCAACAAGTTCCTGCCACCCCCCAGAACAAAGAGACAGCTCCCTTAGAGCAGCGCCCCCCCCCCCGGTGCCCACAGCTGCATAAGCAAAGTCGGGGGCTCCTGGAGGGTCAGCGTGTCCTTTGAGTGCCCCACTCCCAGGCCTCAGGAGGAAAGGGGCTGCCAGCCTGGCCAGCCCAGCCTGTGCCACCCAACCGAGTCCTATCTTCCAGGGCCATGAGCTGCCTGAGTTCCAAGTCATCCCACTTGGTGGCTGCCGTCTCTGCCTCTTCTGGGGGCCAAATCTGTGCTGCGTGTCCTGAGCCTCCCTGCCTCCAGCTTCCTTGGAGGCCTCTGGTTCCAGCCTTGTGAAACACTCTCGCTCCACTTTCTCCGCACCAGGCACCCTCCTATAAGCTATCATGTCCCCCTCCTCCCCCAAAGCCTTACTATTTTTCTGAACAAAAAGCCCCGAATATTGTAACGCATCCTCCTACGAACATGAGAAGAGCCCGCTGGATCAGGCCAGTGGCCCATCTAGTCCAGCATCCTGTTCTCGCAGGGGCCAAGGGGATGCCCCAAGGGACCTGGGCGCAAGAGCAGGACTCTGCCCTCCTGGGCTTTCTGGCATTCACAGGCCTGGCTGTCTCAGAGGGTAAAGGCAGAGCAGAGCCCTGGCCAGCCCTCTCCTCAGAGGAATCATAGAATCATAGAGTTGGAAGAGACCACAAGGGCCATCGAGTCCAACCCCCTGCCAAGCAGGAAACACCATCAGAGCACTCCTGACATATGGTTGTCAAGCCTCTGCTTAAAGACCTCCAAAGTAGGAGACTCCACCACACTCCTTGGCAGCAAATTCCACTGTCGAACAGCTCTTACTGTCAGGAAGTTCTTCCGGATGGACTTCCGGTTGGCGCCAGTGTTTAATGGCGGTCCTAGCCTCGAGCTCCGAGGGAGGACTGCTCCGCAAGTTCGGGTCCGACCCGCTACGGCGTGCGGGGGACCCCTAAAATTGCAGGCGCTGAAGCCTGTAAGCAAGGGGACTCGGCGGGCACCTTTTGCGCCCCCCGGTACTGTGAAAGAGCCTTTTTAAAGGCTACGGAACGGCATCGGGTGTGAGCGCGGTGCTGAGAGTCATCAACCAGCCTGCGGAGTGAAGCCGCGTCGCCATTAAACAGAGAGCGCTGATTCCTTCCTGAAAGTCGGAACAGGACTACAAATCCGTGAGTAAGACCGACAGACTGAACGGGACATTTAATTTAAAATTTGGCTGAAAACGGGAAAGGCATAAAATAAGGAAGTCTGCCTCCCCGGACTGCATGTAAATAAAGCAACGAGAGGACAAAGCTGCATTTAAATGAAAGTTAACTAGTAAAGCTGCTTAAAACCGGACATCGGACTTAAATCGTCCCCCCCAGTAAGCAGGAGAAGGGGGGGAGGAAAATTGGAAATTTACAAACCTGCGTGAAAGAGTGAAGGAAAGAGAGCTTCCACTGTCAAAACCCTGAGTCGGGCTGCCGGAGAAAACACCGGGCAGCTGAGCTGTCAATTTGATTTGGATACAAAGTTAAGATCTTGACTGGGACAAAGTTACAGGACTTTAATGGAGATATTTTGTGAATATTTAAGCTGAAACTGTAAAAAGTGCTTCAACTGTGGACTTTTGGACTTTGCTGTTTGGATTCTTTGTTTACTATTTCAAGTGCCTATGGCTTTTCAAATTGGATACAATTAAATGCTCCCTCTAGAGGACTTAAAGAAAATTTGCTATTGTGAGAGGGAAAGAGTGGAGTTTTCCACTGCTAAATCTTTCCTGTGAGAATTGACCTTGAGGACATGAGTAGCCAACCAGATGAGATAACAACTAGATCCAAGGCAAAACAAACCCAGCAACCTCAAAAGAAAAGGGGTTCGATGCAAGGCATAATACCAGCTGGACAGGAAAAAGCACCAACTGCATCTATGGAGTCAATGACACAGGCATTGCTTAAAATAAACCAGTCTTTGGAAGCACTGACAAAGCAATCGGCGGAGAATACAAAAAAACTGAATGACCTGACAACAAGACTAGACTTGAACACGGCAAGTGTAGCATCTAATACAGACTCTATAAACAAACTTATTCAAGAAAATACTGAAACAAGAAAACTGGCCCAAAGTGCAAAAGATACAGCAGAAGAAACTAAGAGGGAGCTTGCACCAATTACCAAAAAGGTGGATGAACACGACGCAACTTTGTCTTTGTGGGAACTTCAGAGAAAGGAGAAGAATCTCAAATTACGATCAGTTCCAGAGGGAGAAAAAGATAGTCTGATAGAATTCCTCACAGAAAATATCTTTGAATTCTGGCAGGACGAATTTCAGGAGGAAGATTTTGAAATAACAACGGCCTTCCGGTTGGGCAGAAGGCAAGGCAAGAAGCCCAGGGACTGCTTGATTACACTGAGATCTAAAGAAGAGAGAGATAAAATATTAAATCTACATTATCAAAAAGCTCTTGTAATCCAGAATTGTCAAGTCCAGATCTTCAAAGACATCCCAAAATATATACTGGAGCTGAGGGCCTTCTACAAAGATCTTGTCTATCTTCTGAAGAAGAACAACATACCTTTCAGGTGGGAGTTCCCACAAGGGCTCTCCTTTAACTACACAGGAAAGAAAGTCAAAATAAAAACAGTTCAAGATAAAGAATTCTTCTTGGAAAAAAACTTGGAGGACCTACAGAAAGGAACAGTAGATACAACAGCAGAGAAAGAACCGACTGATATAGCAAATCTTTCATTTGGACTTTTACTACCATCGGAGGAGGAACAGAAACTTGGAGCAGTTGGAGGAGTAGGTACATAGTATCAAAATGTCTCTGCAACTTCTTAGCTGGAATTGTAATGGACTTAACCTCCCCAGGAAGAGACGCCAAGTCTTTCACATTTTGAAAAGAGAGCAATTGGACTTAATCTGTTTGCAAGAAACCCATGTGACTAGGATACATAGAAAACTACTGATAAACAAAAGGCTTGGACAAGAATTTATCTCATCAGACAAAGTTAAAAAAAGAGGTGTTGTGATTTATGCAAAGGAAAAATTGGCCCCTAAAATGATCTTTAAAGATGAACAAGGAAGATACCTGGCGATAGAAATACAACTTCAAGGAGAAAAAATTATAATATTAGGAATATATGCACCAAATGAGGGGAAGGCGGAATTCTTTAGGAAGTTGCATGAGACTTTAATGGACTATCTGGACTTCAAAATCATAATGATGGGAGACATGAATGGTGTTGTCTCCACTAACATGGACAAGGCGCAGAGACAGACAATCTCCAACGATGGAAGACTTCCAAAGACTTTTTTTGAAATGACTGAAACACTGGACTTGATTGATATTTGGAGAGTAAGGAACCCTCTAGAAAGAGAGGGAACTTTCTTCTCTGAAGCAAAAATGACCTGGACACGGATTGACCAAATTTGGGTAACTAGTTCTATGGCACCTAAGATAAAAAAAGCAGAAATCTGCCCAAAAACTTGCTCCGACCATAACGCAGTGAAGATAGAGATGAAACTAACAACAACTGGAACCTTCAGATGGAGGATGAATGACGCCCTATTTAGAGATGAAGAGATTTACAAAAAGGCCCAAAAAGCAGTGAAAGATTACTTTGAGATAAATTTGAGAACTGATGTGGAAAAAAGAACAATTTGGGACGCAAGTAAGGCCGTGATGCGAGGTTTCCTAATACAACAAAACTCCATAAAGAGGAAAAAACAGAATGAGAGAAAAGAAAAACTTCTGGAGAAGATAAAAGAAGCTGAAAAGAAATTGAGGTCTAAACCAAAGTCTCATGAGATTCTAAGAGAAATAAAGTATTATCAGACACAATACATGGAACTGACGAACCAAGAGATAGAATGGAAGATAAACCAAATGAGACAAAGAACATTTGAATCAGCAGACAAATGTGGGAAACTTCTGTCATGGCAACTGAAAAAGAGACAAAAATTGAACACTGTGACAAGTTTGGAAATGGAAGGAAAAATTATCCACAAACCAAATGAGATAAATAATTGCTTCCAAAGCTTTTTCAAGAAATTATATGCACAGGGGCCGGCAAATGAGCAGGAAATAGAAGAATTTATTAAAAAGCACGGATTACCAAAGATTTCAGAACAAAGTAAAAGGATTTTGAATGAAAAAATAACAGGACAAGAAATAGAGGACGCCATTCAGAAGATGAAATTGGGAAAATCTCCAGGCCCAGATGGTTTGACTGCCAGATACTATAAGGCATTGAAGGAATGGATAATACAACCATTGAAGGATGTCTGTAATGAAATTTTGGAAGGGAAAAAGGCACCTGAATCGTGGAAAGAAGCTTTTATTTCACTTATACCGAAAACAGAGACTGAAAAGAATCAGGTTAAAAACTACCGCCCTATATCATTACTCAATGTGGATTATAAAATTTTTGCAGACATTTTAGCAAAGAGATTAAAGAGAGTTTTGGTACAGGAGATTCATAAGGACCAAACAGGCTTTCTCCCAGGGAGACATATGTCAGACAATGTAAGGAACATTATAGACATCTTAGAGTTGTTGGAAGTAAAGATTAACAGAAAAGCAGTTATAATTTTTGTAGACGCGGAGAAAGCCTTTGACAACATCTCTTGGACCTTTATGAAGAAGAATCTCCAAGGGATGGGGGTAGGCCAAAGTTTTGAAAACGGTATAGGTGCTATATACTCTAAGCAAAAAGCAAAGTTGATTGTTAACAATGTGGTAACGGAAGAGATTCCTATAGAAAAAGGTACACGACAGGGATGCCCACTATCACCCTTACTTTTTATAACAGTCCTGGAGGTTTTGCTGAATAGGATTAGAGGGGACCAATTGATTAAAGGTGTCCAGCTCGGAGCAAAAGACTATAAGTTAAGGGCATTCGCAGACGATCT